AGTGACTGAGGCCGCGGAGCCGCCGGCCGCACGTGTCCAGAAGCTGGGCTGCTGCGTCTCGCCGGCCGTGTGAGGGCTGCGGACACACGGGCCTGCCCCGGCCGTGGCCTGGCCTCTCGCCTCAGGGCCCCAGACTCATACGGGAACGCTGGCCTCGCCTCTCCTCAGCTCAGCATGTGAAGGCGCTATTTTTTTAAGGAAGTGGTTTTCTTAAATACGCGATTTGCTTACTGAGTCGTGCCTCTTCTTTGGTGGGGTGAGTGGAGCCCTGCTGTGTTAGAACAGGCCCTGCCACCCCACACACACGTTTCCGGGGGCCCTCCTGGAGGTGGAGCCCTCACCCTGACCGGCGTCTGGCGCCACCTGACCTGGGGGACTCTCTGCCCTCCTTGTCCCTGTCAAGGCCCCGTCCCCCCTCCTGAAGAGGAGCTGGCCTGGGCAGGGAGGCCACTGGGAGCCACGGTCAGGGTCTTGGTAGCCGGCCCCTTCCCCAGCTGTGCCCGACTTCAATAAAAAAGCAGTTCTCCAGGGAGCCAGGGGAGCCCGCGCCCCCTTGGCTGCCCCGCGCTCCGCCCTGTGCTGACGAGCAGACGGCCCAGCGAGGGCCAGAGCGTGCCGGCAGCACTGGGGCGAGAAGGTCGCCTGCAGGACCTGGCTGGACCGGCCTCGAGGAGTGACCCGCGGGGCCCTGCCTGCAGCTGCGGGACGGCCCAGGGAGTGGGATTTGGGTCAGGAAGCCACCACTGCGCGTGTCCCTGAGCTGCTGGCTGGCCTTGCGGGGGAGACTCGAGTTTCTCGGCCGTGGGTGCTACACACAGGAGTCCTGCTCAGGTGTGCGGCCGAAGCTTTGTGACGTCACCACATGGGGTAGATAGGCACCAAGGCAGCTCAGGGGAGGGAGAAAACCCGTTTGAAACATGGAGCTGGGATAACTGGTTACTTCCAGGTGGGTTGTAAGCCTGAGTCTGAAGGCCCAGATCATTCTGTCCAATGGAAGGGCCGGGGCCGGGGCCGGGGCTGGGCCAGGCTGATGGCAGGAGCCATGCGGGTGGCAGGTCCCAAGTCCTTGGGCCATCGCTTGCTGCCTCCCGGGGTCTGCAGCAGCAGGAAGCTGGATCAGAAGTGGAGCCGGGACTCCCAGCCCCTGCGGTGTGGGATGCAAGGCCGAGCGGTGAGTTAACTGCACCAGGCGCCCACCCCAGCCATCGCTTCTGGGCGTCGGCAGAGCAGCACCTCAGGTGGCACAAAAAGTGCCGAAGGTAAAGGAACGAAGAAACTGCTTTTCACCAAAATTCAGCCCTCATTGAAACAGCCAGCCCGAGTCATCCAGCCAGCCAGCTCACAGTTCTGTGAATTAAGAGGATTAAGTGGGAAATAAGCAATTTTTAAGATTTATTTATTTGAAAGTCAGAGCTACACAGAGAGAAGGAGAAGCAGAGAGGTGAGAGAGGTCTTCCACCTGCTGGTTCACTCCCCAGTTGGCCGCAATGGCTGGAGCTGTGCCGTTCTGAAGCCAGGAACCTCCTCCGGGTGCAGGGGCCCAAGGAGGTGGGCTATCTTGGGATGGGCATAGCGGAGAGCTGGATCTGAAGAAGAGCAGCTTTACCTGTCACGCCGCAGCACTGGCCCCAGGAAATCTGAGGTTGGTTTTCTGCTTAAACTCCAGGGAGAGCTGATTCTTGTGTTGCCACCAGAGGGCAGCACTGTCTGTTTGTGTCCACTCACTGATGGCAGAGCCAAAGCCTCCTGTCCACCAACACTTTTTTTTTAAGATTCATTTTTTTGAAAGGCAGAGTTAGAGATAAAGGGAAGAGAGCGAGCGAGGTCTTCCATCTGCTGGCTCACTCCCCAGTTGGCTGCAATGGCTTGAGCTGGGAGATCGGGAGCCAGGAGCTGCCTCCAGGACTCCCTCGTGGCAGCAGACCCAGCGCCCACAGGCTCTGTCTGTCATGCCACAGCAGCTGTACTGCCCACCAGGGCCCCATTCGTTACTTGAAAGAGGGGGAGACACAGCAGCCAGGACTGGACAAGACGGAAGCCAGGCGCTCCATCCCAGACTCCCACGCGGTGCAGGTGCCCGAGCACTGGCCGCCATCTGCTGCTTTCCCAGGCCGGATTGGAAGTGGAGCAGCCGGGGCTGGAGCCAGCTCGCGTGGGGTGCTGCTGTGGCAGGCGGCCCTGTGGTCTAAGTGCTAGTCCCCTAAGTGGACAGCCCACCCTGGCCACCACCAGCTGATGGACATCAGAGTCTTTCCACTCTGGCTATTACGAATCATGCTTCTAAGAGCACTGCACGGTGGCTGGGCCATGCCTTAGCTATGGTCAGCTCTGGGGCTCTGGGCACACCCACCACCTGTCCAGTGTGGCTGCACCGTTTTTGAATGCCCTGCCCTTTTTTTTTTTTTTTTTTTTTTTTGATATTTATTTATTTGAAAGAGTTACACAGAGAAGGAGAGGCCGAGAGAGAGAGAGGTCTTCCATCCTCTGGTTCACTCCCCAGATGGCCGCAACGGCCGGAGCTGAGCTGATCATGAGCCAGGAGCTTCTTCCAGGTCTCCCACGCGGGTGCAGGGGCCCAAGCACTTGGCCCATCCTCCACTGCTTTCCTAGGCCACAGCAGAGAGCTGGACTGGAAGTGGAGCAGCCGGGACTAGAACTGGCGCCCACATGTGGTCCCCTCACTGCAGGCGGCAGCGTTACCCGCTACGCCACCGCTCCGGTCCCAGGCCTGGCTCTGGTTCCAGCCATCCTCGTGGCTGCAGTGGCGTCGTCTTGAGGTTTTGGTTTGCATTTCTCTGATGTGTAACGGTGTTGAGCACTTTTTCACGTGCATACTGACCATTCGGACATGCAAACTTTTGTTTTAACATTTGTTTTGGGAGAGTTACAGACAGGTCTTCATCTGCTGGCTCCCTCCGCAGGTGGCTCCAAGCTGGCCGGAGCCAGGCTCTAGGAGCCCCCTCCGGGTCCCCACGTGGGCACAGGGCCCCCAGCACCGGCGGGGATGCGGGTCGCGGGCCGGGGGGGTGCGTGTGCGTTACTCCCCCGCGTCCTGTGGCCGACGTCTGTTCACGGCGCCTTCCTGTCCCTCGTGTGTCCCACGTCACCCGCGCTGGCCCCGCTGCTCCGCCAGGGGAACGAGGGTGCGCGCTCGAGCGCCGGCGGCCTTCCAGCGCAAGGCCGAGGTTCCGGACCCGGCCCTCGTCCGCCCCGGAACCGAGTCGGTCTAGGGTCAGCGGGGGCCTTTGGGGCCCCCCAAGTGGTGGAACAGAGCCTCGCCCCCTTGCTTCTTTTGGGGGCCCTTCCCGG